GTTTTAGGGGGGGTCCTTGGGTGAGAATATCATTGGCGAGCTTGGAAGACCCCAATTCGACAAGAAAGCCCGAACGTCTCCGTGAACATTTGGCAGTTAGCCAAGTACAGCTAGTGGGTTTGTACTTACGCGGTTCTAGAATGCTGAATATATGCTTACATATACTTTCCAGTGTCAGACACAGAACCGCCTCCAAAATATAACCCGCTTGGCACATAGTTCGCTATCCTTTAGTTTCTTTGCGGTATCCAGTATTTCTTGCTGCGAAAGCTTAAGAGCCGTGTTCGCAGCGCAGGTTCTTGGGGCAGATGTTAGGAGCAGAGCTTGTAAGTTGGCGAGTTGGTTACCAAATATACTCAGCCTAGCTTTAAGGTCTTTTATTTCTAAGGCTTGCATCGTGAATAAGTCATAACAGATCGGCCAGAGAGTCCTCCGAACTCGGGGTAGCCTCGTCTTGACGCATTGGTAAGGTATCTTCGTCTAGAGATAGAGGAAGCTGATGAAAGGACAACATAATGGGGGATATAGACTATCGATAAATTGGACAGCAAGGTAGGATCAAATTTCGAACGTACCGCACAGGATCAAGGGTAATCAGAGTAGTGCTGGATACCAACTACCGGAATTCCGCAAAACGAGACAGATTGAAAGCCACGAAAGTTAAAATTTGTCAGGATAAAATGTCGTATGATTGTAATTCATTTGAAGGACTTTGGTGCAGAGGGTCTTCGGAGCTGGAAATGTTATTTGCAGACGTTTGTCTGTCAGCACATGAGATGGTCGGTAGTCCAACATATTTAAATACGATGCGAATAACTTCCATTTATTTTCCTTTAAAACTTTCACTCTGTCTTCTTTTTGCGGTTACATGTAAATAACATAAAAAGATGTAACACCGTCTACAGTTCTAGTCATGTGCTTTTTCACCAAATAGGGCCAGATTGGGTATATACTGTGACATGATTGTATTGGCAATTAGCGCATACACTGGCGGTCAAATTTATTTTTCACACATGTCTGAGTTCAGACTGCCAAACAAACCACGGGACAATAACAACCATAGCCCTCAGATAACTGAAGCGTGATCCACAAGGTAGCGGAGCGGTGTGTGAAAAACCCCAATCCGTGGGGGACGATGTCCAGTTCACTAGATCACACGAGCTTTGGATGGGATCAAGATGCCCAATACATCTCGATGCCAAATTGAGTACGACCACTATCCTAACCAAAAACAGACGAAGAGAAGTCCCATATTTCAATCCAGATGGATCCTGCAAATCAACGCTTCGAACGAAATAGGAACCTTGAAACCAATCAGAAAGTAATCCAAAGCATGACACTTTAGACGTAAAGGTGTAAAAAGGTACAGAAATGGGGTCCATATATCACTATCTAAAAAGACCGGTAACCTGGAGCTGTACCATCTAACGCCGGAACGGATAGAACACACTTAGATAGAAACAATGAAGAGGGAGTCACCATAACAGTAACCTGACTAATCAAATAATGCCTAGCAGACGAATTGAAGGAACGCAAGCAACCAATCGGAACCTTCGAACAGAATCATATGAGCCCGTTTACACTATGGATTGACCAGTCCTCGAAGTTGCACTGTTAGTGTTGCCTGCCTTGGCTACGCAACGCCTGTCAACAATATCCTCAACTTGAAGGATCTTCCAAAACAGATGTTCCTCAGCACAAGCAATAACGAATAAATAATGTGTACAACGAATAATAATTTACCGCTAGCACGCTGAAAAATCATCGACAACAATTGTGATAGCGGGGGGTATTCCGGATTGCACCGAAGTCAACGTCTCTTTGCCCTGATTACTCGCCTCGTATTGGCTATGAGGAAAAAGTAACAGGTGCATCCATAGGAGTTGGGTCACCAAAGATACACACTGTCTACAGAAGCTGAAATTCAAACTACCGCGGTGCTGCATTACCGAACAATTTCATATTGTGGCAGTGGTGGTGGTTAGGCGGTTGAGGTCACCAAATTAGCAACCTAGGGGTGAGTTCCAACATCCTCCTTCATCGCCGCCCATCTTCCACAGTTCTGTATTTCTTCCAGCATCCTTTGTATGGCCGAGGCCCCCTTCCTGAAAGTTGATTGGACATTTGTATACTCAATAAACAAAATAGGAAGCAAAAGGTCTTATTAATTACTGTTAAACGGTACTCTTGGTCGTTTTCGTATTTGTACCAAGCCAATTTCATACAGCATCAATGATAATCATTGATGAATAGGACAAAGTCACGTTGTCTGCTCCGTTTGTTATGCTGGGTTCATTCAGGTTATTTTCAAGTATTGTTTGATCGTGGGTGAATAAGGTATTTGCGATTCGTATTTGGCAGTGAATCGCACACTAAAACGCATAAGAATCATTTTTAGTCAGCGGTTTCCACATGAACCTTCTTTAATCACCTGCCCCTGCCTGTGTGTCTGAAGGGATTCCACCGGCATATATTCTGTTGTGACACTACTACCAGTTTCACGCTCTTTGACTCAATGTAAAACAACACCTGAAGTATCGACAGCCGTATCGTTTTGCTTCAATTCGTGACCAATTTTTCGGTCATTTCCAACAATATGGAGAGTTCGCCAGTTTTACAGATATAAACAAAGTAGGAAATAGTTTAGACTGAATAAGAAAACATTGCGCAATCACATGAAATATGCGTATCCAGTACTGACCGCCCGTTTAAACCACCTCTGACAACGATGATTTTTGAAAGCATCTTATTCCGCGTGATGAATACGGGCTATTTTCCATTTTGGAATTAGTTTGCCCAATATCTCATAGTTCACCGGAGGAATAACTGCTTCCATCAAAGGGTTGTAATTCGCCTGTCGCAGAATCAAGCTCATCAACGGACACACGGTCATATAACTGCAGGCGATCATTGACACAACATCTCCGGCCATACCGGGATTGATTAATTCGTATGGATTGGCAAACACGAACAGATAGAACCAGGCTTCGTGTGGTAACAGCAGGATTCCATAAAGAATGCCATCTAGGAATGCGGTTTTATGCAGTTCACTTCGCAAGGTGTGACATGCAGGCTCCGATGGAGAACGCAAAACATCCAGCATATAATTGAATGCGCAACACATAATCATGAGTGGATAAGCGTACCGAAATACTGTGGACACAATCATCGATAGTCCATACAACCCAGCCAAATGCCCATGAGCACGTTCTTCCAACAGACGCAGTGTTGTGCTGTCAGATGAATAGAACCATCGAAATCGAGTGAACGCGAAACATTGAAGTATATTCAACCCAATCACAAACAAGCCCAAGGCTGTGCAACCCCACGGTGAACTTAGTGGAGTACTCCAAAATGGATATATCATTCGGGTTAGTTGCCACATAGAATTGTAGGCATTCAGATATGCACGACAATGAACAAAAAACCAAAAGGCCACTCGCGTTCTAATCACTTCATCAATAAACCAGTTTGGTGAGGTATCGAATTCAGACATGTTGAGCATGTAAGCAAAACAGCCCAGAACATCAAGGATGCATTGCAGAACAATGATTGACAAAACTTTTCGACCCGGATCAACGGACCGTGCCATACTTTTGCTCAAAACAATGATAGAAACCACATTGATCAGTATTCCACTAATGGACACCAAGAAACCAACGACTCGAACTACATGATGTATCATGATAATAATGGACACTAATGTAGAAGGGCAGAGTGAAACATCATATGTCGAGAAATGCGACAGGAATTCAAAATTTATTGAACAATATCAAGTGATACCACCACGTGACGATTATTTGTTGATGAGCTGCATCATCCCTATCTTTAAGTGAACATTGGAGGATTTAATAATAACCGCAATCACCATTTTCGCTATTCTAGGGTCAGATTGGCTGTGAGAAACCAATCGAATGTGTGGTTCCTTTCAGGGACAAGTAAATTCAAGCGTCAACCTTGGTAGAAAAGGTGGGTAAGCTTAACGCAAATGATCCAGTGAGATGGAGAACAATGGGTTCCCCATATATGCTCAGTACTTCTATATATGTGTTGAAACCTGCAACCAGAACGCTATAGAAACTGCAACCCAATGAAATGAACCGATACAATCCACTCTTCTGTGCATTATACGTGCAATGGATCAGGAGCCCCAACGCGAGTGAAGGACTACGGACGGAAATCCAATCAGCTAATTTAAACCTTCATCTTTACTGTTCACCACAGGTGTTAGTCAGGTGAACAAGTACGATTGTCTTTCGATGTGTAAAGTTTCGATGAAAGATACGAGGTATTAAACTGGCTCATGGTATGTAAGAAGTTGGATCTGAGTGTTAGAAATAGCTTACCTTAATCACTAGCGGACCTCAAACGCTCACGACAAGCATTTTGCTCGACCTGTACCAGTCCACAACAAGGCTCCCAGATTTATTGGAGAGCGAAGTTCCAGAACCCATGATTGATTCATATGAAACATCTTTAGGCGTAATCAGCAAATGACAAACTGTCAACAATGAAAAGTTATCAAGAAGTCAACAACAGCACTGGTCTCTGTTGGTCCATCTCAAATGTTGTTTGGGGCACTAGAGATTACACATAGCGTCAGCTGGTTAGTCATTATATCTGTGAGTACTTGTCTAACAAATACACAAGCACAAAAGGGAAACTGCGTTGAAGATATGAACAAAAACAAGCGTATCGTCCTATTGTTATAATTATCACATTCTCGACTTCTCAGTATCAGATTGGTGACCAAACTTTGAAAAATAAAGGGAAATCGGGCAAATAAAACAGCACTACAAAAAAATTGGGACATCGCGGCAGTTTTCCAGTTACCACCTGCCTTGCTTGATACGCAATGCACTATAAGGTAACCGTCAAGTCGGTGTTTCAAGGTCAGATTTTCACACGATGCGAGATGCAGTTCAGAGGCTCAAACTCGCGGATCAAAACTTCTGTAAGCCTGACAAGAGATGAAATGAGGAACTGAATCAAACATGGTGATTCGGATATCGCTTGAAATCCAGTTGTTTTACTCAGATTCACTACAATATCGAGCAAATGAGACCTCTTTGTCTTTACATAGAGCCTCAAAAAATACAAACGCATTGTTGGGAATTAGTTATTAGAAATATTTTCGATAAACATCATATTAATTTCGTTGGAATACAGATATTTTGAAACTACGACCACCGAAGCAGTGAGAGATAACCGTTGAATCAAAAGTGCGAGAGAAGGCAGAATCGATAAGTGATAAATATATTACAAGATGGCCATTTTCGGTGAATATCATCATTCCAAAGTAGCCAGCAAACTGTCCGCTTTGGATTTCGCTTCTTTATACTCATCAGAATCCAAGTTGTACAACGGATTGCGACACTTTTCCAGCTTAGCCTCTTCGTCGGTTACCGGTTGTAAACTGTACACAAAGTCAAATTCATTCACCATAGATCGAATATGATCCAAACGCTCGGATAGTTGTTTCCAGCGCTCGTCTGGTGGTATCGGATCGGACTTTTGTGTTGTCGGCGATGCGCTTCGTTTCTGCGTTCTGTCAGCCTTAATTCCTGGGCGTCGCGACCCCGAACCCAATGCATCGTCATCCTCGAAATCATCCTCGTCTTCTGTGTCTTGCCCATTTGAACTGGTGACAGACGGCTTCTTCGGTTTCTGCATCGGATCACAACCACACAGTTCATCGCGTACAAACACTTCCACATCGAGGTGCGGCCGTGTGCGGCCCAACTCGACGAGGACAGCCAAAGCGAACTGACTCGGGTGTACGGTGAGGCACAAATCAGTTTGATACCACAGATTGATCAGTTCGGTCCCCTCTTTGCGCAATTCGTTAACAAGCTCTATTTCATTTAAACTGACATCAGTACCGTTCCGGTTCTGATGAAGTCGTTTCTGCAGAATAACGAAATGATGTGGAATATGCAGGAGAACTGAGCAGCCAGTACATTTCTATGATGACTATTTACCATTGCAAAGCCGATCCTTTTCAATGGGCAAAATAAAAATAGTCGCAGTTTATTCCAAGTGATCAGCATGAATTACAAATGAGAAAATAAGACAAAAGGAAAAAATAACTACATGGGTACTTGCAATTCATGCCAATATTAGGAGTTAACTGCACCATACTGTGCTCAATCGAGTAATTTGGAGCTTAGATGAATACTACTGTTCACGTACTGCATAACATGGTGTTCTTTGTACAGTATACATAAGACAATAACTGTGACCTCGATAAACACTCAGGACGTTCGAATGAATACCGAGGTACAACGAATATTGATGTTGACTTATTGTTTGAACACGCAATGTCACTCGTGAACCCCATTTTTAATTTGCTAGTGAATTAGGACAGTGGAACTTCAATCAAAGCTACAATCCATGTTCGGACAACGATGCACAAACAAGCTACTGGTCCATCCTTGCCTCCGACGGGAATCATCTTCCGGCAGTCATGTGACTACGGTTTCAAATACGGTCGACAATGTGAGATCGAAGGTGTCCAATCTTGGGAAAACGTATCCTGAGAATATCCAAGATATCGATGAGAAAGATGATGTGACCTCGGCTGCCTATTCCAACCCGAAGATGAGTTTGAGAAACATTCGAAAAGGGATATCACTGTCCTAACACGGGACATACTTACTAAACAAGCATGAACACTTCACTTCTATTATTCATGGTTGAAATTGACGGGAAAATACGAGAATTTTTGCGAGCGTCCCAAGAACACAAAAGTGTACAATCTCATAAATATCCCTTCGATTCTGTGAATGCCAAGGAGTCAGTAGTTTTTATCTCAGGGTGGGAGACCATTCAATATTTTCCCGCACCCTACCAAGATCAAATGGGACACCCTGCGCTCTCTAGCACGTTTATCAAAAACTAAAAATGCTATCATTTTAAGCCCATTGAAGAACATTGAAAATTAGGAATCCCTCAAGAAAATTCACCCACTTTTGTCTGGGAAACCGGGAAGCATTTCGATAACGAGTAAATCATGGATCGATTTCTTTGATATAAGGATTGTTGTACCGTGATCTATTTGGCACACAGTCTGGATTTAGACATTTGTGAAATACAATAATAATATTATGCTGGCGACAACATCCTGTGGTTTATGTTTACAATGTGATAACTTGTAAGGAACATTTATATGAAGATGTCAGGTAATAATGCAACTTGGACTATTCCATTTACAGGAAGTAATTTGGTACTGTACGAATGGATTCAGACGATAGTTTTATGCCGTTGATCAAAAGAATACTTCACTTTTACGCGATTATCTCCTGCACTGTGAATGAGTTCAACGGTGTGTGTAAATGTAACGGAAACTAGAGTGCATCAATTTGAACACAGAATATATATTCTCGCGATCTGCACCAGTATATGTCCATCATTGCTAGCCCCGTCCTGCTCCTCCTCCTGAACACTGAAAGCGAATCACCGAGATTCCAACAGAACATCAAGAAATTCGTCAACTGACCTGATAAGCAACCAAATCCATGATTAGTCCGGTCAATGGCCGGTAGGGTGTGAATACCCACAAATCGTAACTGAGGGATTCAAGCAGGAACAACTCCGAATTGAGAATAAAATAACTGTAGCGATCTTGATTGCGGGGAATGTGAGAAGTGAATGTTTGGATCCCGATCGGGAAATCGGCTGCTTTACAGGCCATATACAAACAGGTAAGCATCATCTCACGGGGATAGAAATCCATCACTGAATGATGCAAATAAAATCGTTTGAGATAGGTGACTGCGAATCCAAAAACCTAAAATGGGAAATAATAACGATGACAATAATAATAATAACTAATAATAATTCTCGTGCAACTGGTAGAAGAAACATGTAACTGTGATACCGTTTTTTTCATCTTGTGAAGATTGGCGGTAAACATGCATAGGATGGCGCACAACGAAAAGGTTAGTATATCAAACAATGACAACAAGCGGAAAATTGTCATTTGCTTCTACTGAATAGGACTTAGACGGAATTCCACGGAATTCGAGAGAAATTGGCAACTAGACCCAATACCTCCCGGTTCTGGAATTTATGACCAGAGATTTCTCTGCACTCGCAGACCCAGTTGCGCTGTGCAGGACAAAAATTGGCTAGAAACCCGGTATCCGCGATTGTTAACTATTGCGACAGGTCAACCAGTTGACGGGACCCGGATATTCAAAATGAGATTAAACAACCGGGCTGGAAAAGCTACTGACGATTAGTGAAAACATTTTTCTCTCACTGTGTGTGTGCGACCAGTCAAAAACCGATGAATGTAACAATAACAAGTGAAGTTAAGCAACCACAGTAGGATTTGTGCTAATAGGTTAATGGCTTACACCAGTGTGGAGTTGTGAGATGCGCATGGAAATCGCCCATTCTCTTCTGGGCGTAAGCCCAAACGACGAACTCAATAGACACAATCACATAGACATAACCTAGATGACCAAATTTACGACTCGCCTAGTTTTCTGGGTCGCTAAAGGTTGGGGAACATTCTTTATCATTTTCACTTCCTCTTGTTGAATTTATAAAGACACAATATTCAGGAAGGATGAAGCAGCCAACTAACGAGCTGCCATACAACATAAAATGGGGGGGTTAGGTGGTGGGATTTGAAAACACGTACTCCGGGGCGATAATTTAGCGAGGTTACCATCAGGCCAAGATCACACTGCTTTGTTATGGATGACTTTTGCTTCATTCAACACGTGATCAACAACACAATTACATTTAACAGCAAACAGAATTCTTATCTTGCTAGGCTTTTAACATGCCTACCGAAAATAAGTACTTGATAGATTTATTGCGCAGTAGTAATTTTCTCCTCATTGGATAGCCAATGAGGTCGCTTTGATCAAAGACTATTTTAATTGATTGAGTAAAACTATACTGTCTGATAATTCCAATCCTCTCCACACACACCTTTCTTTGTTTCATTTTCACATCAGTGGCACGTAACAAATTTAGGTTGTTGTATACCCACACTATCACGTATCATAACTCCATCATTTCATGTCTAGCCAATCTATTGGGTTACCAAGGTTAACCGGTTGGGTTTTCCAATCAGAAGTCCGCTTGAATAGTTTGTATCACCCTATTATCCCGCGTCCGATAATTTCAATTCCATTTTTTACGGTTGCTCCCATGCGATTTTTCTGTGAGGAACCAAGCTTGGTGCCAAGGCAGCAACAACAAAAACAACTGAAAATGGGTGGTTGGGATACAAAGTAATGCAAAATAAGGTGTAGTTTTGACTTGAAAATATACAGAATAACGAAGGATGAGATACCAATGATCTAGAGATACTGATAACATCAGGAACGTAAACTATTCTCAATCAAGGGGATAATGTAGACAGCTCCAGAGAGATTCCGCCAGGACTATGTCCAAAAATTACTGAAAAAACGTGTTTGGCTTAATCCAGAGATTAGTTATTCCTTAGGCTCACAAGTGTGATGCGAAAAGATAACAGAAAATTACGACTCTGGTGATGACAAAAACGGTTCACTGGTTTCAAAGGACAAACGCATTGCAAAACACGTATGCAAGAATTGAATGTCGATGTAAAATACGCGCACACTGCCAGCAAAAACTCACTTCATCCGGCAATTTCGGGTTGGTAAACTTCTCGCACAATGCTCTCATGAGATAGATGTATCGCTTTACAATGTTGAATTCTTCATCCGGATCGAGAGCAACTAGCTTATCCTCGTCGTTTACGTATTCGTCAGATTCTGCTTTTTGCGCAGCTGCTTGTACAAGACGTTTGCGCGCTACAGCATTACATTCCTGACGTTGGGCAGCTACATCTGCCGGGCTGAAATACCAGTTATACAGCTGTGTGCTTGTTGCATAGGCCTGAAAGTAGAGATACTCAGATTTAGTTCAGTAGCCGACATAGTTCAACGTTGAGTGTCAAATCAACAGAGCAGTTTCCTGTAGCACTTATGAAAATACTAGGTAGAGTATTGGGATCATAACTGAAATCAACGAAAAGTGGTGTTGTGAGTAAATTACACACGGGAGGGGAGTAAACGTAAAAGACTATGCACAAAATGTGGCCATATCATCTAAGGTCTAGCAGCACATACCAGTTGGTTTAAATAGAAACTTGAAAATCACGACCATTCTTGCGGTGTTTTACATTTCCACCACTTTCAAATCCGATCGCCTATTTCTTTAGCTCCTGAATGAAGCCTTTTGCATTGCACGTCGGAAGAATACATTAGGTATTCTGGAACTAGGGCAAGCTGGTAGTATTCCGCTCACCAGAAAATCGTGGAAGGACTTTTTTGTCAAAACGGTTTTCCTAACCCAACTTGCTTCGCACTGTTTGGATTAAGACGGCAAAAACCAGTCTATATACCACCGGCGAACTCACAAAATTTGGATTAGTTGATAACGGTGATAAATGTGCAACA